AAATAAACCATTCTGATTTTACACACCTTCTCTTAGGAGGAAGTCCTGTAGAATTTAACAGGGCTTAAAACAAATTATTGAGTTTAAGAGAATTTCCTCTAAAAAAATAAACTATTAAGTATTTATCTTTTGGGGTTTTTTTCTTTAAAGTAAACTCATCCTAGCAGATTTTATCGGAGACGTTTTATGTCAGGCAAATTCTATGGCACTGTTCAAGAGAAGTGATCAGCTTTTACTATATTCCACAGGACTTTTCTATAAAAGATTTTGCAGGTCTGGGGGCTGCCTGCTATGGTCATTAACCCAAGCAAGGCTCCCATCCCTTCTAGCATTTTACTGGAATAAAGACCAGGGAACTTAGCATTTCCATACTACTTCTGAGGAACAACAGGCACCCTCTCTAGGTTTCCCTCAATAAAGATATTACACTCATGCAACACAAATTAGACACAGAAAAGGTGTCATCCCACATATGACCTTACAGTACACTCGCTTTAGATATTTACTTCTGCAACACAAAGAAGCATATTCCTTTTTTTTTTTTTTTTTAATTTATTTCTTATCCCTTCATGGACTTCTGTCCTGCTTTTCAATTTCAGCAGTTCAAGGGAACAAAGAATCAAATGCACATTGCGAAGCTCCCAAAATCTTACAAGCACACAGTGCATACCCCTTTCAAAACTGGGAGATCTTGCTTCGTTTCTGAAGGGACAAGAGTGAACTGACGAGTAGTTCTTATCTGTGACTGCCAAAAGCACCTCTACGTCCCTAGAAGACCTTAAACGATAGGAAACAGGTTGGCTGATCAGTAAAACAACTTCACAAAATTCACATTCATTCTCTTCTCAGAAAGGTGTTTCAGATCTCAAACCTGTTTTGTTCAATCTCACATAACACAGGTCCTGCTACAGTATACTTTAAAAAAATAAATACAACATGGAAAGGCAGCAACGGTATCACAGAAACAGGCAGAACAGAGCCACAGGAAAGCATGTACTACACACAGGTGAGAATGGTGGTGGAATAATTCAGGCCTAAAAAAAAAACTTCATGGCAGTCCATGGGAGAGTTACCCTAGTCACTAAAATGGATGCTGGATTAGTCCTTTGTGTGTAAAGAAGAAAATATGTTAGTCAGCATAGGAAGAGCATTTAAGTAAAATGCATCCGTTCTTGCTAATTTAAGGAAGAAAACTAAAGATTAAACATCACTATGAGGGAATGAGAAGTCCAGCTGGATTTGGAACGGATATGGCCATTGACCAGCATTAGTCTTGGGGAAGCACTTGGCGCGTCTGCAGCAATGTCCAGACACGCTCTGCTGCTCACTCAGGCCCTGGCAAACAACCTTTACAAGTAGTGGCACAAACAATTTCACAGTGACAAACACCTCTCTCTAACCACAATTTATTGCTGTTTTTTAAAGTCTTTTACGCTATCACTCAGCGTGGAGGCAAATACCTTTTACAAGGCTGGTCACAAGGGGTGACTTGTGGGACTTACGGAAAACACCACAACAGCAATGAGATTCATTGCGGCTGTGTTACCCACTGCTTTAAATGTGGAGGGCAAAAGGCATCAAAATGCCCTGTCCTGTTTTTATCTCATATAGCCCAATTCAGTGCTGTGAGGTTTCAACAGTATGCAAAAGGCCCCTGATTTTTCCAGTGCAGCTGGGAGGGCTGGCCAGGGTGAGCAGTGGTGCATGACAGGGACACAGGATGGCTGCGTGAATGAGCCTCCCTTTTGAATGACCCCTCAAATCTGTGTTTCCCTGCGGTGTTCACGGGGGCTGCCTCTCCTAGGCTGGCTGTCGGGGGTATTTCTGTGGGTAAGGGGCTTCTGTCAGTGCAACTGGCAGAGCACCACAGCAGCAAACGTGTGCCTCCCACACCTCTTCCTGTCAAGCAACAGAATTAGCATTTTTTCCAAAGTTAATCAAAAATACACCCGCGCAACTGCCTGTGGGCACTTGCTGACTGCTCCCTTAGCTTTCCACAGCAGCCAGGAGCAAGAGCAGGTTTCTGTGCAGCGTTGGTGTAGTTTTTCTTCCTTTCCCCACATCTGGCTGAACCACTTGCATCCTCCTTACAAGACACATGCCGCTTCTGTCTTATCCTCTTGGACAGTAGACAGCAATTCCCCCTGGCAAAAACAGCCAGTAAGCTCAAAATTTGCAATTTGGGGTAGCTAAAAGTAATCTAAATGGTCTGAGGAATAAGCTGCATTTATTTAGACACCTTACAGGGAGTTAGGTACTGAACAGAGAGGCATCCGCATTTGAAAGTGGGTTAAGTGCATGTGAAGACCCCTCTCACATCCGAGAGATGCCAGAGGGTGCTTAGTTTCTGGCAGAGATGGAAGCAGAAAGAGAGCATCCCTGTGGCAGCTTTAACAGAGGCAAGCGGCACAGGAACAGGTCCCATCCCTGCCTCAGCTGGGCAAGCCCACTGCTCCTGGGATGCGACAGTAAGTAATTGCAGTAAAATAACTGTCATATATTGTGGCAAAATACACTGCACTGCACCCACCTCTTCTGCGCTAGTGGACCTGGGAGCTGGTGGGGCTTGGGTGAAGACGGAAGCATCGCAGCACGAGGAGCTGCTGGGCTGGGCTGAATCACCCTGGGCTGCGTCTACTGGGTCCACAAAGACTTCCTGGTGTGTGGGAAAGCACCTGAGCTCACCCCGGTGCTCACAGCTGCCTAAATCCTCTCCTGCCTGCAGAGCAGGGCCTCCTAGGACACCCAGAGAAGGTGCTGCGGCTCCTCCTCCTGTGGACTATGCATTGGCTCCATAACTCCTTTCTTACCAAAGCTAAAAGGAAGGTCAGGCTGCCATGGATATTTTCTCATAAGAAATTTCCCAATGTTTACCTGCTCTGGCAGAGAGATAATTTCAGTGCAATAAAGCCAATTTTTGAAGTCCTCACTCAGAAAACCCTGCCAGGTTTACTGAGACCCTTTCCCTCCAGATACAGCATTAAGAAGAATTTGAAGATCGTTAAGAAATGAGAATTAATTACCTGCAAATTTTTGTGCAATTTCAATTTCCACTTAATCCCATTGCAATCTGCAATTTGCTGTGAGATACAGGCCAGGAGTTTTGTTCATATAGTCCACGTTACTCTTTATATAGAAATATGATCTGCAATTGTGAGTTGATATTTCACGCTTTGTCCTTTGTACTTGGTACACACAGGAACATTTCCCAGTCTTTCAACTAACCAAGCAATTAAACATATTTGCCTATAAGCATGTGCCTAAACTCTTCCCTATCTGATGAAATTCTGGCACATGGTCAAATCCTACCATTATGGCTGGGACACTTTTCCTTTTTGCTAAGCTGCTTTAGTAATAGGGGCACAGCCCAGTGCTCATCCATATGGTTTGGATTTAGATTTAGCATGAATCCCAGCTTCCCCTTTTCTTTTGTAACACATACAAAGCCCTCCTCCATACCATGGGAAAGACAAGTCCTTTCTACCCTAGGCACTCCCAAAACCAGGGGCAACTCACTCGCACAGAAACAACCCTGCCAGTGTCCTCTTTGAAGGATCCCACAGCACAGCAGAGTCAAGCCCTTAGTTGACATCATCCAATGTAATCAAGATATTTGCTGCTAGCAAAAGGGAGAAGAACATAATTCATGGACTGGAAACACTGATCAGCGTGGCAGGGAACAGGATACTGTAACTAGAGTTCTCCTTAAATATAGCTTCTTAGGCAGCTGTACTTCCCATGAGCATCCATTCATTTCCCCCTCTGTTGAGATAGCTGTGTCCTACCACCTACAAAGCTGATTATGGATCAGACAGACACGAAGTTGCATTCATCGTCACTGTAAGAGCATGTAAGTGCAAAGCATGCTGCCCTAGGCATCCAGAAAATTATGGTTTTCTGCAAGCCCACACTGCTGTTTCTATGTAGTAGAGAAGGGGTGAGGCATAAAAAGGTGAGGCATGAAAAGACGCTGTGTTTGTGTGCTATAGCTGGTGCGCCAAACTATGTTCTCAAGCACAGTTGTGGTGCCTTTCCTGCCTTGCAGATCTGAGAAAATATAAGTAAATGTGAGCAGGGAGCAGAAACCTCTTAGCCCACGCAGTAGATGACTGCCTAGTGCTGGCTGCCCTTCCTCTGGGCAGCTGTTACTTGCTTTTGATAGGAATACAACAGCCTTCAAAGTGCTGGAAGGACCTGGGGACTCACAGCATCTATAGGACACAAGTACTACTACCTGCCCCCTGATGGAGGGCTCCTCATCACCCCAGGTTTGCCTCCGGTGAGCAACTACACAACGCATCAGCATCTGAACTGCTGATCTCACTTGGGGTTAGGCACTTTGGGTGACGCATCCCATGGTCCTTAGTGCTTCAGTGAGCTGAGCTACCTTATGAACTTCCTTGTAGGCACCGTGTCTTTTCAAGCACTGTGGGATAGAAGGGAATATCAGAGGGTATGGGCCCTTCAGTGAAACTAGCTTATGTGTGCACTACAGAGATGGTGGGTTAATGGCTACAGTGTTATTTGTTATCCTCATACAAGCAGCCACTTTTAATTAAAAGCACTGCCACATTCAGGGGAAGGATCCATATCTGGACCCTACATCTGGCCAGGGTTTGGATGACTCAGGTTAACGCTGCAGTAAAGTGGTAAATATACTTCATTAATAAGCTCTCTTTCAACACCCAGCTCAGGTCAGAGTACAGTCCATGAGCTTTCAATCTGATCTTTGGTGAGAAATGTAACAACTTACATTCTTCAGCTTTTGCCAAAGTGATTAATATGAATACACACCTAGGTGAGGAAACCTGCCTCATCTGAATCACTCGAAACTAAGATGGAAGAAAGCAAAACACTTCAACATAAGTGATCTTTGTTTCACTAGGATTGAAAGCATCATGTTTTTCTCTCCCTTAAATGCAACTGACTGCAGTGAGCCTTATTTTCCAATGTACTGAAAGCCTCCACAGCTCTTACTGAAGTCAAGGTGCCATGAATTTATGTTCCACCTGCCCAAACAGGGCTATAGCATTATTGCTCCTTCCCAGATTCCTCGTAAGGAGCATGCTGAATTCCCAGCTCATGTTTTTCTTCCCTGTGAGCAACTATTTAACATTACATTACTATTTCTACAGGCATCTAAATCTCTGCAGGGAAACAGAGTCCCATAAGATCCTATGCGGAAGCACTATGACGATGTGTAGTGGCATCACTTCTGAACAACGCTGGTTGACAAAACAACAACATACTCGGACTCTTCCCCATATACAAGAAGCTTTCAAAGGGGCGTACAGGATCAACTGTGTCTTGTTTCAGTTAGAATTGCAGTGCTATGACTAACTTTCCCATACTCCTTGGAGACAATCAGCCCATGAATTCAGCCAATGTTGCCAGGCACCAGGCTTCAGCAAGGACCTAACCATCTGGAGAACTTCTACCAGTAAGAAGGTGAGGGCCAGAGGACCAGCCAGCTTCCTTGTTGTGTACAAAGCAGAAAGCAATGCAGCAATGGAAATGAGAGGGGACAAACCTGCCATACCAAAAAGAGTGACACTTTGCATGAAGGTTGGCTAAGAAGACAAGCACAGTCAACAGTGAACAAGATCTGTAAACAAAACACTCCCTAGTGGTATTCAATGCAGAGTGCTGGGCACAGTTCATCTGCCTGTACTGATCCATGCTTGCCGTGTAGCGTAAAGAGTGAAGCAGCAGCACAGAACAAATCCAGAGTACACGTGTTAACTTCCATCTGGGCCTTTCAGTGATGTGCACCTTGAGCCATTCCCTTGTCCTCCTCCTCTCTGCCGCAAGGCAACCGTAACCGTTCCTCAGGGCAGCAGCGCTTGGCGTGGAGTTCAAAGTCCTTCCTGTTAAATGGGGACAGTAAGATTGATGTGGGCTGAACTGCCCAGGACACAGATTGTACCTGGGGATCAAGGGCCACAAAATTGTGTCAATCTTCCACTCCCTCTCCACTCCCTGCTAAAAATAGTCTCTTCTTCTGGTTTCGTCACTGATGAAGGATGGATTGTATTGTCCAGGGTAGATGCATGAATGTCGAGATCCAGGCAAACCAGTGTAGGGAGGATAAAGTCCGTTTCTTTCCAGTTCAGGATTTCTCAGTCCAGTTGGCTGGATTAGCAAAAAATTAAATAAAAGGGGTCTTATTCTCACACTCAAATCCTCCACCAGGCACAGCCTTACCACCCTTCCCAGCAGTTATTTCAGTAGCTAGAAGGAACAACGTGATCGCTAATGATCTCTATAACCCATAATGATTTTTACTATGGGAGTTATGCATTGCCTGAAGGGATTATTCTGATGCAACCTAGTTTTGACATCTTGCCAATTAGCAGACTTGAAGTTCACCTGACTCCACCAAGTGCAGTCTAAGTGCACAGTTACTTTTTAATCCAAGAGAATTGTGCTGATGAGCTCAGGCATTGAAACAACTTTCACGAAAAGGGTATTGTCCCAGAGCCATCCTTACAGGAAACGATTCTAGAAAATTCGAGTTAATCTCCTGCTTTGAGTATTACCTGGGAGCACTTCTCTCCCCATTAATCATAGGTAGCTACTCTCCCAACACAGGCATTTGAATTGTATGTCATATACAAAGTGATCTGACCTTCCTTTCTCTTTCCTTCTCTTACTTAAGAATATCTCCTGGGGACACTTTGTTGACAAAATTTGACATCTAAGACCAAGACCGTACAATCCTTTCATGCAGTAAATAACACCAAGCCACCTGGTTTGATCTGTTACAGAGCTGATCCACGCAAAGCCTTCATCACCTACTCCTTGCTAGGACACTCCCCTTTCTCGTCACCAGCGTAACAAGAAGTCTTAAAAAATGTTTAAGAAACACATTTTCATTTCCAAATCTCTCATTCTTACTGGAAGAGGGAAGGAGGATTATTTCCCTTCATGCTGTGCAACCCAGTAAACTCGCTTACTGGAAAACTTAAAATACAAGGCAGAAAAATAGTATTGCTTGCTGCTCTCTGCTCTGGAAAGCAGGAGTCCAGAATGTGTGATTTGGGTGAAATCCTGCCAACTTCACTCACTTGAGTAACCCACACACCCCTTAAGTACACCCAGTATGTTGCTGTAGGTTAGTGACAGATGATACACCAGCATCACAGCTCTAGATACAGACATTAGCAGATGGTACCAACCGTGACAGCAGGTCTTGTGCTTGTGTCTTTCTCTGCCCTACACAGCCCATTACTCCACCACTTTCCCCCCACCACTTGTTCCCCCAGAGCTGGAAGGATGCTCCTTACGGACCCTTCCTGAGCGACCAGCATCTTCCCATCTTTGGGTGAAGATCCACAGCCAGATGTCTCAACCTTCCAGCATCATCAGTGAGAGTGGAAGGGAGAAAACTATGCGCAGAAATTCCCAGCAGCTTGTCCAAACCCTTTAACTCTCCTTGTCTGCTCTGGGATTGGGCTTTTTAGGCATCTACCAAAATGTTTCTAGACATTTCCCTAGCACTCTTCCTAATGGCATCGCTCTGTGATATTCACCACATCTAACACTGGAGTGTTATAGGACTACCTATACCTTGCTATGGAAGCCAGTTATTTGCCCTTTTATTTTGCAGGAAAGAGATATGTCCTTCCAAAAATAAAGGAATGTGCCTTTTCTGTATCAGGCACAAAGGGTTAATAGCTAAATCATGGATAGATACCGAATAATACACATCTGTCATCTGCAATAGGTTCTTGGTGCTTCCGTTCTCTTGCATCTCAATGGTCTCTCTGCCCCACTCCTGTGCCCGGGGGTTCTTTGGATATTCAGCATATGGTGACATCTGGAAGTCTCCACTCTTGAAAATGAGTTTACTTATGTCATTTTTATTCTTCCTGTTTATAAAATAAAGAAGGAAAGTGAAAACATACAACTTATCCTGCTACCTTGTATGCATTTCTAACATGATCTCAGGAAATTTACTTCCTGCTGTGAACCTTGACTAGGAACAAAGATCACCTCAGAAGGGCTAAAGTCCAATTTTCTGCTCTGAGGCAAAGTCAGATATGAGGTCAGATCATGTGTCGTGGTTTAGCCGCAGCCGGCAACTAAGCACCACACAGCTGCTTGCTCACCCTCCCCTCTGGTGGGG